CTGGGACCCCCTGAGCCCCCCAAGAGACCCCTGGGACCCCCCCTGAGCCCCCCAAGACCCCCCCGGTGACGCCCCGGTGCCCCCCAGCCCAACTGCTACGCCAAGGTGATCACCATCGAGGCGCAGAAGAAGATCGTCATCTACTCCAAGCAGCCCATCGGCGTCAACGAGGAGATCACCTACGACTACAAGTTCCCCATCGAGGACACCAAGATCCCGTGCCTGTGCCGCACCGAGAGCTGCCGCGGGACCCTCAACTGACCTCGGGGGGCTTGGGGACACCGTGGTGACCACCAGAAACATCATTGGTGGGGCTTGGGGACCACCAAAAACATCATGGTGGGATTCGGGGACCACCAAAAACATCATTGGTGGGGCTTGGTGACCACCAAAAACATCTTGGTGGGCTTGGTGACCACCAGAAACATCATGGTGGGGTTTGAGGACCACCAAAAACATCATTGGTGGGGTTTGGGGACCACCAAAAACATCATTGGTGGGGCTTGGTGACCATCCTGGTGGGCTTGGTGACCACCAGAAACATCATGGTGGGCTTTGGGGACACCAAAACCATCTTGGTGGGCTTGGTGACCACCAGAAACATCTTGGTGGGCTTTGAGGACACCAAGATCCCGTGCCTGTGCCGCACCGAGAGCTGCCGCGGGACCCTCAACTGACCTCGGGGGGCTTGGGGACACCGTGGTGACCACCAGAAACATCATTGGTGGGGCTTGGGGACCACCAAAAACATCATGGTGGGGTTCAGTGACCACTAAAACCATCTTGGTGGGGCTTGAGGACCACCAGAAACATCATGGTGGGGCTTGGGGACCACCAAAAACATCATGGTGGGGTTTGATGACCCCCAGAAACATCTTGGTGGGGTTTGGTGACCACCAGAAACATCATGGTGGGGTTCAGTGACCACCAAAAACATCTTGGTGGGGTTTGGTGACCACCAGAAACATCATGGTGGGGTTCAGTGACCACCAAAAACATCTTGGTGGGGTTTGGTGACCACCAGAAACATCATGGTGGGGTTCAGTGACCACCAAAAACATCTTGGTGGGGTTTGGTGACCACCAGAAACATCATGGTGGGGCTTGGGGACCACCAGAAACATCTTGGTGGGGCTTGAGGACCACCAGAAACATCTTGGTGGGGTTCGGTGAGCACCAAAAACATCATGGTGGGGCTTGGGGACCACCCTGGTGGGCTTGATGACCACCAGAAACATCATGGTGGGCTTTGGGGACACCAAAACCATCTTGGTGGGCTTGGTGACCACCAGAAACATCTTGGTGGGGTTTGGGGACACCAAGATCCCGTGCCTGTGCCGCACCGAGAGCTGCCGCGGGACCCTCAACTGACCTCGGGGGGCTTGGGGACACCGTGGTGACCACCAGAAACATCATTGGTGGGGCTTGGGGACCACCAAAAACATCTTGGTGGGGCTTGGTGACCACCAAAAACATCATGGTGGGATTCAGTGACCACCAAAAACATCATTGGTGGGGCTTGGTGACCACCAAAAACATCTTGGTGGGCTTGGTGACCACCAGAAACATCATGGTGGGGTTTGAGGACCACCAAAAACATCATTGGTGGGGTTTGGGGACCACCAAAAACATCATTGGTGGGGCTTGGTGACCATCCTGGTGGGCTTGGTGACCACCAGAAACATCATGGTGGGGCTTGGTGACCACCCTGGTGGGCTTGATGACCACCAGAAACATCTTGGTGGGCTTTGGGGACACCAAAACCATCTTGGTGGGCTTGGTGACCACCAGAAACATCTTGGTGGGGTTTGGGGACACCAAAACCATCATGGTAGGGTTGGAGACACCATGGTGACCACCAAAACCATCTTGGTGGGCTTGGGGACCACCAAGATCATCATGGTGGGGTTTGGTTGGTGATCACCAAAACCATCATTGGTGGGGCTTGGTGACCATCTTGGTGGGCTTGGGGACCACCAAAACCATCATGGTGGGGTTTGGTGGCCACCAAAACCATCATTGGTGGGTTTGGTGACCACCAGTGGGGTTTGGTGACCACCAGTGGGGTTTGGTGACCACCATGGTGAGGTTTGGTGACCACCATGGTGGGGTTTGGTCATCAGGGTCGGTGTTTGGCCACCACTGACACGAGGACACGCCAGGGTTGGGATTTGGCCACCAGGATCGGTCTTTGGCCACCAGGATCAGTTTTTGGCCACCAGGGTCGGGATTTGGCCACCAGGACCAGTCTTTGGCCACCATGGTCACCATTTGGCCACCATGGTCAGGTTTTGGCCACCAGGATCAGTCTTTGGCCACCAAGGTCACCATTTGGCCACCAAGGTCAGGTTTTGGTCACCAAGCTCAGTCTTTGGCCACCAGGACCAGTCTTTGGCCACCAAGGTCAGGTTTTGGTCACCAAGCTCAGTCTTTGGCCACCAGGATCAGTCTTTGGCCACCAAGGTTGGAATTTGGCCACCAAGGTCAGTCTTTGGCCACCAAGGTTGGAATTTGGCCACCAAGGTCAGTCTTTGGCCACCAAGGTCAGGTTTTGGCCACCAAGGTTGGAATTTGGCCACCAGGACCAGTCTTTGGCCACCAAGGTCAGATTTTGGCCACCAAGGTTGGAATTTGGCCACCAGGATCAGTCTTTGGCCACCAAGCTCCATCTTTGGCCACCAGGGTCGGGATTTGGCCACCAGGGTTGATCTTGGGCCACCAGGATCAGTCTTTGGCCACCAAGGTTGGAATTTGGCCACCAGGGTCAGTTTTTGGCCACCAGGCTCGGCGTTCGACCCCTCCCCTCCCCCACACAGTGACGTCACCGACCGCCCCGTGACGTCACCGCCCCTCCCCCGCCCCGTGACGTCACCGCCCCTCCCCCACCCCTCCCAAAATCGCATTTTTTTGGTTTTTTCCCGTTTTTTTGGGGCTGTTTCTTGTAGAAACTC